AGGTCATCCTAATTCAACCGACCTTGTTTAGCTGGCGGAAAGTTTAATTACTATCTGATTGCAAACACAGAGGGCATCCTACCTGCAAAGATGACAACACTTGTTCCGAGCAGAGTCTGAAGCGTTTGAAGGCCAGTGAGGAACACTCGAGCTTTACCTACATTCACTACAGTGAAAAATACAGTGGGATATTTACCCTTAATTTGGAGTGACTGTCTTTTGTCAGTGCCTGCAATAGCACAAACAAGTCAGCATCAGCATTAGTATAGAATTTATTTTTTCTGGTTTTGTTAATGAGCAAAACAGAATAGAAAGTTCAAAATAACTGCATTCATTCGAAATAAAATCTTTTCTCATATTATAAATGTCTTTACTGTCACACTTTTGATCAATGTAATGCATCCTTGCTGAACAAAGCATTAATTTCTTTAAAAAAAAAAAATTCTTACTGGCCTCAAACTTTGAACTTTTCTACAGAGTACACTGTAAAAAATGAATCATGGGTCTTGTCATTTTCATTTTAAAAATTAAGGTGATAATTAAAAATAGTGTGTATATTTCATTAAAGAAATTGTGGTTCAGTGTTGTATAGAAAATATTGAGGACTTTTTACTAATAAAACCAAGAGATGTGTTTTCCTCATTTTTTTTTAAAGGAAACTTAAGCAGTTTTGAGGCTAGAATTGAGGAACTGATTATTGTTTACATGATGAAATGGTCTGACTTACCTATGAAGATATTTTTAACAACCTTTATGTATTTAGCAAATCAATAATGCATAATTACAAATGCATAAAGGCCAAATACCCATCAAAGACTGATTAAATACAAGTTCATGTTACTAAAAGCTGAAATACTGAAATGTAGTACTCTTCCTGGGTTCTTACTACATTTGAGACGCTGCAGCTTGATGCTGCACTAATGGATGACTTTGCTTCAGTAGATACAGCTCAAATACAAACCAATCCTGATGGCTTTTAACTGCTACTTGTTATTGTCTGTTCACATTAGGTGCATCCAGCTGTGCTACAGGTGCTTGAATTAAATAACCTGGCATCTATTCTAATTTTAGCATGGATGCTCACCTCACAGACTCTGGATCTTTAATGGCATGCTGTATTAGCGAGAAATTAATTCACATTAAATTCTGGACACACAGAGTATAATCTAAACACTGCTAAGTAAACATTCATTATAACGGTTGTTTACTGCACAAACAAAATTGTCTTCTGAGAATCCATAACTACTTCATTGACTTGAAGTGTGCCATTTTAATGTCAAAATGCTTAAATACGTCCTCCTAGTTTACGGTGCAGAGACAAGTATAAGTCATTTGCATGTAGTGTTGCTTTCGTCAATGAAAATTATGACTAAATATCGTCGTCAACGAACCTTTATCACGTGACGAAAACGAGACGAGACGCAACGTAAATGCTGGTCATGTGACGATGACTATAATTAAATGTATAATGCAATATTGTTGATGAATAAAAACGAGACTAAATGTGGTTTACAAAATAAAAACTATGCTAAAATGTCTCTTCATTTTCGTTGACCAAAACGAGACGAAACGAAATGTTATAACGTTATTTCGTCTCGTTTAGTCGCGTTATTATTATTATTTTGCAGTATTTCTGTTTCCTGTGTCTCACTTCAGGGGCTGCATCAGGTTCCTCAAGCCCCACTTGCGGCATTATTTTAGAACAGTGTTTCCCAACTGGGGTGCCGTGTAAAAAATCCTTTTTTAATATTTTTAAATTGCTAAAATGTTCAAAAAAGCAGCTATTATATAATA